TTATTTGCATTATTGTGTGATGAATGTTTTCTGACCTCTTTCTCCATATCTGAACAGACTCTAGCTGCATCCCAGCCTCTAGGAATTTCCCAAAGCCATGGCTGAAATGGGCCCTTATCCTTTTCATTAGATGGGAAGGTCTCAAATGAAAGATGATTTTGAGCTGTAATATCTATGCTCAGCAGGATAAGGTCATAGGGGCTGTGGGTTTGTAAGTTAGAACTGGATCCAAGCTAGAAAGCCTAAACCCACATTTCTCTGCAATTCATGATTATGTGGATCTGTGGTTTTGGTTTAAGCCTGTCTCTGTTGTTAATATTTAGGTATTTGCAGTCTTCAGAGGTGACTGAGGGATGGGGGGGGGGCGGTGTTGGATTTTAAGGCTGTGTTGAGGCTAGCGTAACATCAGAGAGCTGTCTAAGCTGCTCTTCTTTCACGTCTAACTAGTCTGAAGCTTGAGATCCTTGCTCAAGGCATTGACACATGCTTAAAGCAGAGGAATACAAGGAGGCTAGTTGCCTGTGTTTCTTATTCTAAAGAGTCAATTTACTGTGAGACTTCCCAAGGCAACAGTGGGGAGCAGTGGAATGCTTCGAGATCCTTGGGATTCTGACAGTATTCTGGTCTTCATGGTGCCCAGCCTGCAGCTTTGTCTGGTTTGAGGGGTATGTGACTGTTTTGGGCTCTGATAATTTGCAAGCCACTGTGTTACTGTTATAGGCCAGTGGTGGGCAATCTGTAGCCTGCCTGCTGCTTGCGACCCATCAGGGTTCTATGTGTGGCCCACAAGATGTTTCGTTTCCTGTTGCCCATCCACATGGTTGGCAGATGCCGCTGGTTTCCGCCTGCATAGTTTTTTTCCCCTGAACATAAAGCAGGGGCATGAGAAGTGAGGGGCATGCTGATTGCACTGAGAGAGCCGTGCTCTCCCTCTGCATCCAATCAACCGGCAAACCTTGCAAATTCTAGGAATGCACACGCAGTTAGAAAAACTGACCTATTCTGGGGTACTGTCTTGGTTATGACAATTTTGCAGCCCACGGAGAGAAAGGACAGCGACTCGTGCAGCCTAGGTGGCTCAATGCTTCTGTTGGCCTTTGATAAACTGGGACTCCTGGCCATCCAGGGACACTTCACGTGCCAAGGAAGAGTCAACCACCAAAGCTATATAGAGGCAGGAGACAGACAAGGAAACTTGTTTCACTTCAACGGGCAGCTGTAGGGGCTCTTGAAAGTGGGAAATGAGAAACTGTTAGCATGTCAGCAACAGCCTGGAATTTGACATTTTCCCTGAGAGAGGCTATTGCAGACAAGATATTACAGTTAATATGCTAATTCTTTGCTACATTTTTAGTTAAAGGTCAATGGCAAAAGTATTGGAAAACTGCAGTACATTAGAGGACAAGCTTGCTGTAAGACCTTAGGATGTGTGACTCACCAGAGCAGAGAAGCAGGTTGACAGATTAGTACAAATGCTTTCAGAATCTTTTCTAAGCATGTGTTCCAAGCAGTTACCTGTCATCGTAATGGAGTGGAAAGTAGTGGTCTTTTTCCATACAGTAGGGAGAAAGGATTGGTGTCTGCCTCAAGAGAGTTTTGAACCAGATCCATTGTGGCCTCTGTTCGTAGCACAGGATTCTGGCCTGTCATTAGGGTTGCCAGTGTCCAGTATTCACCTGGACAGTCTGGTATTTGTGGGCTCTGTCCAGTTTAAAAAAAAAAAACAAGCAATACCGGACACGTGAAATGTCCAGTATTTCCTGTTTCCCTCAGACAGAAGCCCAGCGGGGACAATTTTCCCCTGCTGCATCTGGCGGAGGAGTGCGGAGCGCAGCAGAGTCATAGCGAAGGGGGGGCAGGAAGGGGCAGTTGCAGGGCGCCACACTAGGGGGGCACTAGGCTGGGGTGGGAGCAGAGCACATGCTGTTCTGGCCCATGTGACCAGCAAAGACCTGGCTGCTGGGCACGTGATGCCTCCCTCAACACCAGCTGTGGCCAACCTGTGGCTCTTGCCCCCCAAAAGTGTGGCTTGCAAAGCCACTCCTGCACCCCTCCCCAAACTCCTCCCCG